CAAAGTATAGAACAACATAGTAAAAGTGAGGGGTGAATATCTTTGGGCTAAACAAGTTTTCAGTGCCTGTTGCAGAAATATAGAGGTTGGTTTTGCTTTTCTGAAAATAAACTCACACTATATATTTTTGTCAACTTGCTAGTTTTCCTTGGCAGTATGAACGAATTAATACTTTCCAAGGTGGCCTGTATGAAATTTCCTTGGCTCCTTTAGCTGCTGCATAATACCCTTTTTTCATTATTCTAAGGCATACTCTTTCATTCATATGTTATTATCTCTAAAATTGGTATGCATCTTACACTTGCCATCATCTAGGCAGTAGTAGTGATATAATTGTCATTGCCTGCTGGATATGCTTCAAAGCTTGCAGAATGGATGTTAGCAGCCTGGAATATTAATGATTCTGACTCTACATATGACTCAGAAGGTTCCGACTCCAAGAAGAAGATTTATATATGTTTTAATCAATTTACTTGATGAATACTTTTATTTTAATGTATGCATGAGGGTGACATGGAATTAAAAATTCATGTGGTTTTTTGAATAAATATAAAATAAAAATTATAAGTGTTAAGAAAACTTTTTTGTCATAGTTTAATTAGGAGCACTTTTTTCTATTTTAATGATACATAAAATAATGGTGTTTATCATTCATGATGTCCTGAAATCAGTGAAATATGATTTTCTACAGTGTGGCTATTCCACAGTTTAATCATTTTTGTATCAATAGATGTTAAGTTTTCACTTTTTTTACAGTAGTGCTTCAGTAAACTCTTTTTCATTCCTCCTTTTCCATATGTGCAAATAGTATTTCTCCTGATTCCTAGAAACACATTTTTAAAAATTCTAAAGCTGCTGGCCCCTCCAATCTGTTGTTGTTCAGGTGCTCAATCATGTCCAACTATTCATGACCCCGTAGACTGCAGCACACCAGGCTTTCCTGTCCTTCACTATCTCCCACAGTTTGCTCAAACTGATGTCCATTGAGTCAGCAATGCCATCCATCCTCTGTTGTCCCCTTCTCTTCATACCCTCAATCTTTCCCAGCATCAGGGTCTTTTCCAATGAGTTGGCTCTTTACATCAGGTGACCAAAGTATGGGAGCTTCAGCTTCAGCATCAGTCCTTCCAATGAATATTCTGGGTTGACTTCCTTTAGGATTGACTGTTGTGATCTCCTTGTTGTCCAAGGGACTCTCGAGAGTCTTCTCCAGCACCACAATTCGAAAGCGTTAATTCTTCAGTGCTCAGCCTTCCTTATGGTCCAGTTCTCACATCTGTACATGACTCCAGGAAAAACCATAGCTTTGACTAAATGGACATTTGTCAGTAAAGTGATGTCTCTGGTTTCTCATACGTTGTTGTCTAGGTTTGTCATAGCTTTTCTTCCAAGCAGCAAGCATCTTTTAATTTCATGGTTGCAGTCATCATCTGCAGTGATTTTGGAGCCCCAGAAAATAAAGTCTGCCACTGTTTCCACTTTTTCCCCATCTATTGGCTATGAAGTGATGGGACTGGATGCCATGATCTTTGTTTTTTGAATGTTGAGTTTTAAGCCACTCTCCTCCTTCACCTTCATCAAGAGGCTCTTTAGTTCCTCTTTGCTTTCTGCCATTAGGGTGGTGTCATCTTCGTATCTGAGGTTGTTGATATTTCACCTGGCAATCTGGATTTCAGTTTGTGATTCATCCAGCCGGGCATGTCACATGATGTACTCTGCAGCAGAACAGATTAAGAGGTGGCAAGGATACACAGAACTAGACCAAAAAAGGTCTTAATAACCTGGATAACCACAATGGTGTGGTCACTCAAGTAGAACCAGACATCCTGGAGTGTGAAGTCAAGTGGGCCTTAAGAAGCATTACTACAAACAAAACTAGTGCAGGTGATGGAATTCCAGCTGAACTATTTCAAATCCTAAAAGATGATGCTGTTAAAGTGCTCCACTCAATATGCCAACAAATTTGGAAAACTCAGCAGTGGCCACAGGACTGGAAAAGGTCAGTTTCCATTCAAGTCCCAAAGAAAGACAAGGCTAAAGAATGTTCAAACCAAGAGCTTCCAGATGTACAAGCTGGATTTAGAAAAGGCAGAGGAACTAGAGATCCAACATCAGTTGGATCATAGAAAAAGCTAGAGAATTCCAGAAAAACATCTACTTCTGCTTCATTGACTACAGGAAAGCCTTCGACTGTGTGGTTCACAACAAACTGTGGAGAATTCTTCAAGAGATGGGAACATCAGCTCACCTTACCTGCCTGCTTCCTGAGAAACATGTATACCAGTCAAGAAGCATACAGTTAGAACTGGACATGGGACAACAGACTGGTTCAAAATTGGGCAAGGAGTATGTCAAGGCTGTATATTGTCATCCTGCTTATTTAACTTATATGCAGAGTACATCATGTGACATGCCCGGCTGGATGAATCACAAACTGAAATCCAGATTGCCAGGTGAAATATCAACAACCTCAGATACGAAGATGACATCACCCTAATGGCAGAAAGCAAAGAGGAACTAAAGAGCCTCTTGATGAAGGTGAAGGAGGAGAGTGGCTTAAAACTCAACATTCAAAAAACAAAGATCATGGCATCCAGTCCCATCACTTCATAGCCAATAGATGGGGAAAAAGTGGAAACAGTGGCAGACTTTATTTTCTGGGGCTCCAAAATCACTGCGGATGATGACTGCAACCATGAAATTAAAAGATGCTTGCTGCTTGGAAGAAAAGCTATGACAAACCTAGACAACAACGTATGAGAAACCAGAGACATCACTTTACTGACAAATGTCCATTTAGTCAAAGCTATGGTTTTTCCTGGAGTCATGTACAGATGTGAGAACTGGACCATAAGGAAGGCTGAGCACTGAAGAATTAACGCTTTCGAATTGTGGTGCTGGAGAAGACTCTCGAGAGTCCCTTGGACAACAAGGAGATCACAACAGTCAATCCTAAAGGAAGTCAACCCAGAATATTCATTGGAAGGACTGATGCTGAAGCTGAAGCTCCCATACTTTGGTCACCTGATGTAAAGAGCCAACTCATTGGAAAAGACCCTGATGCTGGGAAAGATTGAGGGTATGAAGAGAAGGGGACAACAGAGGATGGATGGCATTGCTGACTCAATGGACATCAGTTTGAGCAAACTGTGGGAGATAGTGAAGGACAGCGAAGCCTGGCATGTTGCAACCCATGGGGTCTCAAAGAACTGGACACAACTTTGTGACTCATCAATGACAAAATTTTCCAGGGAAGTTTCAATTTAAAAAATCTTGGTACATTATTGTCATTCAGTTCAGTTCAGTTGCTCAGTTGTGTCCGACTCTTTGTGACCCCATGAACCACAGCACACCAGGCCTCCCTGTCCATCACCAACTCCTGGAGTCCACCCAAACCCATGTCCATTGTGTCGGTGATGCCATCCAACCATCTTATCCTCTGTCGTCCCCTTCTCCTTTTGCCTATTGTCATTAGCTATCAACATACTTTGGAAGTTTCTGAGATTTCAGTATCTTAACTATACTGTACTGCCTTGAGTTCCAGTGAGGCAGATGTCACACAGTTTGTTTCCAGATAGCATCTCCCTGGGGGTGGTCTTAGTTTTTAAGTTCTCTGGACAATTTCAGATCTACTTGGACACCTGACAGATTATTGTTAAAATAATGAACAGGGAGCAGTATACCTCTACATTATAGTAAGGGTCTTTATTTTTATTAGTGCTTCTGACCCCTAGAAGTGTTTGGGTGTTTTTTTGCAGTCAGAAGACCTGGCTCAGCCTCTCACTCTCTGAGCATGGTGACTCTGTGGGTCATGGGAGCTAGGAGGGTGGGGATAGCCTCACATATATCCAAGGAATTAAAATAGCAAGTGTTGGTGAGGTAATGGCAAATTTGGAACCCTCATACATTGCATATATTGCTGGTGGGAACGTAAAATCATTCATTTAGCCACTATGGGAAATTCTTTTGGCAGTTCCTCATAGAGTTAAACAGAATTACCATATGACCCAGCAATCCCACTCCCAGGTATATACCCCAAAGAACTGAAAACATTGACAAATACATTTATATAGGCTCATTCAGAGCAGCACTATTCACAGAGGGTGGAAATAACACAAATATCCCTCAATAGATACATGTATAAACACATTGTGGTATACATACAATAGAATATTATTTAGCCATAAAAAGAAATGAAGTAGGACACACACTGCAAGGAGGGTGAACCTTGAAAACATCATGCTAAGTGAAAGAAGCTGGGCACAAAAGACTACCTGTTATATGATTCCATTGATATGGAATGTCCAGAATAGCCAAATTCAGAGAGAAAAAATAAATTAGTGGTTACTCTGAGTTGAGGAGACCAAGGGATAGGGAGTGACTGCTTAATGTGTAGGGAGGGGGTTCCCTTTTGGGGTGATGAATCTGTTTCAGAACTAGATAGAGATGGTGTGGTTGCTTTACACTGCATTGTCATAAATGCCACTGGATTGTTGACTTGAAAGTTATTTTTATGTTATGTGTATTTCACTCTAATAAGACGACAAGACAAAGTTAAATCCTCTCTACCCTTCCGAGCTTGGAATTTTCCCAGCGGATACAAGGCAAAAGAGACAGCTAGCCCCCATCCTTGCCGGGGCACGATAAAAGGTGCCTTGTCCTACAGTTGCACTTGTGTGTTCATTCGTTCGTGCATAAATTCCCATTTACTCTGCACAGCGCCTGAACCAGGTTTGGGCTGCAGAGGGAACACTCTCTGCCCCGGGAGCGCACAGCCTAGGGGGAGACACATCCCGCAAATTAAAAAATAAAGCAAAACTCCGTGATGAACCCAGCAAAGGAGGGTTGGCCACTTAAGTAGCAGGGTGTTCCGAAAGAAAAGGGGGCCTTTGTCAGACAGGGGGCATGGACTGAGTCGATTCCTGTCCGTGGCCGCCAAGTCCCTGGCGACAAATGCATTCTTTTGTTGTTCATGGAAATGAAACAGTCTTTCAGGCCCTTCAGGAGCTCGTCCGCCGAGGTGGGAAGACGGAACTCAATAAACCCAAGGATGTCGGGCAGGAGGGCGAGGGGTGGATAGGCGGGAGACCCCCTGCGCCCCGCCCCGAACCTCGGGGGAGGTCGGCGACCGCGTCTTGGGGAGGTGGGGACTGCGCGGGGCCGCGCTCCCGCCCTCCTCGGCGCCTGCGGACCCGCAGGCGGCGGGCGGCCCGCGAGGGGGCGGCGGCTCCCGGGCTTTGTGGCCGCTGCGCGCGCGGCGGGGCCTGGCCGGCCGGGGGCGCGCCGCCGCCGCCCGGCGCTCCGGAGCCCGCGGCCCTCCCGGCCGCCCAGCCTGCGAGAGGAGTCGAGGCCGCCCGCGCTCGCATCTCGCCGGCCCCTCCCCCGATCGCCGCGGCCGCTGCGCCGCCGCTGCAGGTAGGAGGCTCCCCGGGCGGGCGGGTCGCAGCGGGGCGGGGGCACGGGCCAGGCGTGCGGGGGCCGCGGGGCCGGTAGGGCGCGCTTCCGGCCCAGGCGCCACGACCCATGCCCCGCAGGCCCGACGGCCACCTCCGCGCGCAGCGATGGGACTCGGTGAGTGGGGCCGGCCTGCGGCGTACAAAGCCCCAGGGCGCGGACCTCGGGGAGATTCAGCGACGTACCCGGGGTCTGGGGACTCTGGACTCCGAGGGCAGAGGAGCGGTTTGGGGGGTGGGGGAGAAACCTTCAGTACCGGCGGCTCCCATTCCCAGCGTCCCCACAGTATGCCGCTTTTGCATACTTGTCTTCTTTAAGACCCCTTGTGTCCCTTACAGAGGTGTGAGGGGAGGGGTCCCTCATTCAGGGCCGAGCGCCGAGCATCACAGCGGTGCCCGCCTGACCTTGGGAAAGCGCCTTTACTCCGAGCCCTGGCTGCAGCTCCTCTAAATGAGGGTGGGTTGCGGGGGAGGGATGGTGGCGGAGAGTGCGTGGTGTAATGCCTACCCGCAGGTGCTATTGTGAGAGATGAAGTACGCAAATGATCATACATATTGAGCACTTTCTACATACCAGGCCTGGGTACCAAACAGTTGGCATGAGTTATCTAATTAAATCATCATGCTGGCGCTGTGATGTAGCTACTGTAAATTGCAGTAGTAATCTTTATTTAGGAGTAGGAAATAGAGAAGAATTTAGCCTCCCTATTCTGATTAAGGAAACTGGGTATTTCTTAGGCATGGTCACATTTAAGTTTATAGATGTCCCTGCAATGTCAGGAGAGCAGTTGTGGGATATATTTATTGCACATTTAAAACCGGGAGGTAGGATAATATCAGGGCCAGGGGTGTGCATTTCAGCATCAGATAAGTCAGTTGTGTTACCAAGGAAATTGTTGAGTATTAATTCAAAAACATAGTTCCAGAGTTAGGACTGAGGACTGCTCTGGGAGTTTGGGGCCAGAGAGACAAGGGGCAGACTAGGAGGAAATGGAGGATTCTGAAGCCCTGGGTGGAGACAGGGACCTGTGACCACCACCCCAGCAGCTTTCTGGACCAAGATTTCCTCCTGCCCTTAGAGACCAGGCATCCTATCAGGAAGGAGGGGAGGGGTGGGGGAAGGATCCAGGGGCAAGATCAATGGATTGTCACTTCTTACTTTCAGGCCACCCCAAAAGTATTCACATGGGTTGAGAGCCGGATGACAGGGCCTCCTAAAGCACCATGGTCCCTTCTCATGATTTTTTAAATGCTTTTAATATGTTTGAGGAGATTGGGATGCTCACCAACCCTAAAGATTGGTAAGATCCTTAAAATACAAAGACCTAATTGATGTAATGAAGGAGTGTGTTTGAATACAGCTCCCTTGGTTGGATAAGAAGTGGGCCTGAGGAGATTATTTGGGGGTTCAGTTTAGAATGAGGACACCTAAAAAGATTCCAGACCCTGAAGAAAAAAGAGAAAGGCAGGAAGGCTCAGGTGCTGTACCCTGGGGCAGGGGGTAGAAGGAGCACTGAGACCCCCAGAACACCATGTGCAGAATACCCACCCAGCCCCCTAGTGCTCGAGTACCCAGAAGGTACCCCTCTTTTCCCAGCTTATGACTGCATCTTCCTTGAGTGTTGTGGAAGGTCGGGGCTCGACTCAGGCTGACCTTTCTCCTGAGTGAGCAGGAAAAGCTTCTTGGAGAAGGGTTGTTTGAAAACCGGTCTTGAAGGACAGGGTGTTTGGACGCATAGTGATGGTGAAGGTAGGAGCCCCGTGCCTGGTAAAAAGAGCAGGTGCTTTGGAGAGACAGATAGTGGGAGGTTTGAGTTCTAGGTCTGCCATTTCTCAGCAGAGATGTAACTTTTTTGTAAGGATTAAATAATGGTTTTTCAAGTGCCAGGCAGGGAGCTCAACAAGCGCTCGGACCTTTTCCCCTGTCCACGGTGACATTTGTTTAACTCTTGTCTCCTGAGCACCAGTCTTATGCTGAGTCATATGCTTCATGCTAGGGATCCAGAGATGAGTCAGAAATTATGTATTTCCCTTAGGAATTTCCCAGCCTAGTGAAGGAGATGGACACAATGAGCAAATTAAAGAAAATAAGGGAAGTGCAATTATCTACAGCTGGTAGTGAGCTCACAGGAGAGTAATTCATTCATTCTGGATAGAACACTCAGGGTTAACTACCTCTTTAACAAGATTTAACAAGGTGAGATGTTATCATAGAGGTTTTGAATGCAACACCAACTCTTAATTTCTATCTTTTTTTTTACCTTTGTCTTGTCTTTGCCCTGATAGTCTCTCTTTTAAAACACACACACACACAACCTAGTTGCAGTGTGTACATAGTTGTTAAGCTGCCTCAAACTCATTTTAGGAGGAAGCTATTATAAATAAAATCAACATAATAGCCTGGCTGTTAGTTAAGGAAGGCTTCACAAAAAATTTCATGAGAGTTGGACCTTGAGGGATGAAGATAAGCCCTTGGTGGACTTTGGGGTAAAGGAGTCCAGCCAAAGGAAGCCCCATGTCCAGAGGCATGCGAACATAAGTTCAAGGGCATGAAGGTGAGTCTGGTCTGGCTGGGTTGAAACATACTGGGAAAGGGTGTTGTGGGGGCAGTGTCATCGGGGCCAGTTCTGGAAAAGCCTTGGAATGCCTTGTGAGCAGTTTGGACTTTATCACCAGAGGTCTACATGCAGGACTATGGCATCATCACTGTGTTTTAGGAAGATTCCTTGAGGGGCCGGAAGTTTGGGAGGTCATTTTGGGAGACTATGGCTGACCGTGGACACAGGCAGTGAGGATGGGAGCAGAGAAAAGAGATGCAGAGGTAAAATGTTAAGTAGGTCTTGATGAGTGGATCCATGGGATTGAAGAGCATACTGAGGTGGCTGAAATCATCAGAAATTGGAGGTTTGGGATGATGAATTATTCACTCGCTTTGGGAGATTTCTGAGGTACCCATAATGGACAACTAGATGGAGGTGGCCAGGAGACAACTGGAAATGTATGTAATGTTGAGGGGAGAGGATGGGGCTGGAGAGAGGTTCTTCCTGACATCCCTACTTTCTTGTGATCAAATGCCAAGAATCAGCTGTGTGCTCAAGATACAAATAAAATATAGTTCCAAGCCACAGGAGCTCATACTTGGATAGGGGACCCCCTGAGGCTATGGATAGACTAGTACAGAGTAATTCTGAGGCTGAAGGAAAAGGTAAATACGTGGGACCCCAGGCCCTGCGACTTGAGAGCTGTTGTTGCTGAAGTGGTGAGTGTTGCTGAAGTGGAGATTGTCCTCAGGTGAGAAGCAGGCCAGAGCGGGAACACCTACATAAGGGGACTTGCATTTTGTAAAAGCACTTTCTGTGGAGGGTACTTGAGTAATGATCCCAAGGGAATTTCAGGGAGACTGGGACAGTGTGGGGAGATGGTTTGGGATGGAGCTGAGGGGAGAGGTGGGGAGGGGTCAGGACTTTTAAGGACTTTCCCTGGTTGGCAGAGGGAACTGTGAGGGGGTGGGAGACGGGAGGTAGGAGCCCCTTGCCTTAAACACAAGGCTGGTTCTGCTCACGATCACACTTAGACACAGATGGTAAAAATAAACACTTCCCGGTTACTTGGCCACCTGGAGTGGGTGGTGAAGGAGAAGAGGAGGGAGAGCACTAGAGGAAGCAAGTTTAGTGCTGGGTATAGACTGGAAAACCTTCTAAAGGAAAGAAAGAAGGCAGAGAGGGCACAGGTGAGTGGCCATCCTGAGTAGACAGGTCTGAACACGTGAGAGCAGGTACATGGCAAGGTGTGCACGGGAACAGGAATGTCTGATGATTCTTAACCTCTGTGACAGATGGAGGAGGAAATGGCAACCCACTCCAGTATTCATGCCTGGGATATCCCATGGGCAGAGGAGCCTGGCAGTTTGGAGTTCATGGGGTCGCAAAGAGTCAGACATGACTGAGTGAGCATGCACTGCGTCAGATGAAATCAGGAAGGCATCATAGTTCTAGCTAGGCTTTTAAAAATCTGACACGCAGGGACTTCCCTGGTGGTACAATGGATAAGAATCCACCTGCCGGTGCAGGGGACGCAGGTTCGACACCTGGTCCGGGAAGATCCCACATGCTGTGGGCAACTAAGCCTGTGTGCCACAACTCCTGAGCCTGTGCTCTAGAGCCCGTGAGCTGCAACTAATGAGCCGTAGCTGCTGAATCTAGCGTGCTCTAGGGCCTGAGAGCCACAACTCGTGCTCACAACTACTGAAGCCCATGAGCCTAGAGCCCATATTCTGCAACAAGAGAAGCCACTGCAATGAGAAGCCTACACACTGCAACTAGACAGTAGGCCCTGCTCACTCCAACTAGAGAAAGCCTTCACGCAGCAACAAAGACCCAGTGCAACCAAAAATAAATAAATACATTAAAAAAATTAGGCATACAGTACAACAGTATTTATAAGATGAAGCCATGAAATGATTTTTGTTAGGCTAAATCCTTGATAAAAGGAGAAATTTAAGATAGTGGAACATCTAGATATAATTAGTTAAAGAAAGTGCAAATGGCGAGCAGGTTAGTTTCAACATATATTTCCCTTATATTTATTTCCCTGCTGTATACCAGGTGCTCTTCAAGGAGCTTGGGCTACAGTAGTGAGGGAGGGGTCCATCACTTGCTTTAGGCATTTCACTTAGAAATAACCTACAGAGTCAAACCTGGGCTCACCTCCCCTAAAGTGCTGAGTTCACTCTATTCTATTGCAGTGTTCTCTTTCTTTGGCTAGTAGCCCCACTAGCCTCCTAAATAATCAGAAAATGCCATCTATGCATCTTTGGCAAAGGACCATGGAAGTTAGGTTGCAGAAAAACCATTGTTAGTGTGGGCTACAGCACTGGATGGGGCTTCAGAGAACACGCATGGTAGTTTTATAATTTAGAGGTGGGGAATCAACAAGAGGAAAGTGGACTTGCCTGATGGCACAGACTGTATGTCAGAGTTGAGGGCGGTGGCCTCAAGTTTTCAGTTGGGGTAAGGGGGAAGGCTTGAGGGTACCTCGCCAAAGGGCATCTTGATGACGAGAGGGTTCCAGAG